AAATTTCACCATTAAAGTGAGTATGCTATTTACTATAGGCTTTTGAATAGGTACTTTTTATCCAGTTAAGGATGATCCCTACTATTACTGGTTTGTCCAGAGTTCTTAATGTCATTTTGTATTGAAGTTCATCAAATGCTTCTCCCGCATCTGCTAAGATGAACACAAGTATTATCACCTTTAATCTCTGTAGTAGACATGGAGATGCTCCACCCAGATTTTCTTTCAGCAAAGCACTTGTGATCCAGCTGTGGGGAGAGCTGTTGGCAGACAGCCCCCAGCTGTCAGCTCCTTCACAGCTTGCCTCAGTGCACGCAGGAGTGTGCCCCTTTCCAATGAGTGATGGAGGCAGGAGCGTAAAGGCCTGGCCACTATGGGTCACAGTGGGGCAACTCTGATGAGCCACATGTGCTTCCCAGCTCTCCTGGGCATGGCTAAGGCTTGTGGGCCTACATCATAGCCTGTTTCACACTCTGTCCAATCCTGCCTGCCTCTCCTTTCCAGAGGTGGTGGTTGTTGTTATTAGGTGCCATCAAGTCAATTTTGACTAATAGCGACTCCATGTGACAGAGTAGAACTGCCCCATAGGGTTTTCTTGGCTGTGATCTTTATGAAAGCAGATTGCCAGGTCTTTCTCCCATGTAGATGCTAGGTGGGTTAGAACCACCAACCTTTTGGTTAGCAGCTAACTGCTTAACCATTGTGCAACCAGGACTCTTATCTGCCAGAGGTATTGGTCACTAATAAATATCCTGCACACCACACTCCAACTCAGCATCTGCTTTCACCCTGTTACAATCTGTTTAAAATAGATATTTGTAAATGTTAAAAAAAATTCTTTGCATTCCTAGGAAGACTCTCCTTAGTCATATATGTTGCTGTATTCCCTTTGCTAATATTTAAAAATTTTATTCATTTATTTACCTCACATTCATTGTTAATGTGCCCTTTGTATAGTCTATGTATACTTGCTACTTGGTAGGACATCAGGTACAGTCCATGGCTATAGAACTTTTCCTTCTAAAGTATGTGTATATCTATGTTCTATAACTAACATTATAAGACATTTTTATTCTTTAGCTTAGTTTTAGTCTCAAGGCATCTTTAACATTTCCAGGCAATTTTAGTTTGTTCTAAAGAGCAGTTGTCTAGCGCATCTTGTGTTCAAGAGATTTTCTGCTCTTGGGGCTGAGCCATAGACAGCTTTGCCAATGCCATCCGTTTTGGAATCATTTACTTCCTAGCTCCACGACATTCCAATCTGTGGGCCATGAGACTTCTTATAGACTAAAGAGGAACCTGACATACAACAAGAATACTTTAGAGCAAGGACTCGGATCAGCTGCACCTCTGATGAGTATAAGGAATAGGATAAACAAACAAGACAGTACACACAACAGAAAATTACAGGATAAAAAATGTCTGTACCATGCATTAATGTGAGGACAAACTATTAAAAGAACGAACAAATCTGTCTTGGAAGAAGTATAACCAGAATGCTCCTTAGAAGCGAGGATGGCGAGACTATGTCTCAGGTACTTTGGCCATGTTATCAGAAGGGATCAGTCCCTGGAGAAGCACAGCATGCTTGGTAAAGTAGAAGGTCAGTGAAAAAGAGGAAGACCCTCAGTGAGATGAACTCACACAGTGGCTGCAACAATGGGATTAAGCATAACAACGATTGTGAGGAGGGTGCAGGACCAGGTAGTGTTTAGTTCTGTCGTACATAGAGTCACTATGAGTTGGAATCAGCTCGATGTCATCTAACAACAACAACATTTTTGACTGACCATTTTCTTCAGGTGAGTGATCCTTTCTTACCAGAAGGTGACAGAGAGGGAGCAGCTAAAAAAAATTTTTTTTTCCATTTCTCAGAAAAAATTTTTAAAACAGAAAGCCAAATAGCTCTTGCAACTTAGGGCTTTTAACTTTGGAAATGTACAGATTTTCAGGTTCTATTATTTAATATAGTTATTAGAAATAACATCTAAGAATGATTAGAGACAATCACTACTGATATCTATACCACATGGGTTGACTAAAACATTTGGCTACAACAAACAAAAATGAATCTGTCTAGAAGCTATGAGTTCTACAAAGACTAGTTCATTATAATTAGTGAAAAATATTTTCAGGGCAAATGAAAAATAACGGACTAATAGATATATGTCACTAGTTTACAGAAACAATCTTAATTTGCAATATGAAAATGTAACTTTTAAGCCAGTATTCAATTTTTTAAATGTTATAATGTCATCATCTATAAAATGAGGGACTGGATTAGAGGATAATCAAAGTCCCTTCTTCCTCTAATATTATGTATTTCCTATTTTAGACATGAGAAACAGGGTAAGAAGAACATATGAATTGCCTATAGTCATATATTAGCTCATGACAGAACTATCTGCAAAACCCAAGTTTTCTGACCCTTCATCAACTTCATCATCTATCTTTAAAAATGTGAACCTCCATGAAGAGCTAAGTTAGCTAATGGCTTCTACCCGTAAGAAAACAGTATAAGTTTACAATAACAACAACCAGTGCCACTGAGCTGACTCCAACTCATGGTGACCCCATGTGTGTCAGAGTAGAACTGTGCTCCACTGTTAGCTTTTGGAAGTAGATTACCAGACTTTTCTTCTGAGGTGCCTCTAGGTGGATTTGAACCACCAACCTTTTAGTTAGTAGCTGAGTGCTTAATCAACTGCATTAAGTTCACTACAGGTTTACTTAAAATGGCACATAACTCAAAATAAATGCAGTACATCCAGAGATGGATTTATTTTGGAAAGGAAAGGACTTCTGATGAGTTCTTGGGGTCTGAGTGAATAGGGGGTGACTTCCAGGTAAAGGAAGATCAAATGGAACAATTCCTAGAAAGAGCTGAAAGTGGAGGGAGGGAGCATGGAGTTGAGTGCTCCCAACACTGAGCTTTACAGAGGCAGGCAGTGCTGCACCAGGGTAGAAGGGGCCACTGGAGTTGGACAAAGGAGTTAAAGGTGGCCCACATTCTGACTGGGCCTGGATGAGACAGTAAAACCCAGACAATCTTAATAGTCTTTTCTGTAGGTTTGGTTCACAAAAACAGCTTCCACTACATCCAATCCCTGACTATAATAGCAAATAATATACAGTGAAACTGGCAGGAGCCAGAACTCAACGGGACTGCCTTGTTTTTCTGGTTCTCACAAGTTTTCTGCCTTTGACAGTCTTACCACTTTTTTTATCAGTCTCTATTAGTGGAAAATATTGGAATTTTCCTTCTATGACAGGTTTCCACCTTACACACATTCTAGCTTTTGCAGGTTTTACTGAACCATCGCGATCCTTTCAATGGCTCATTCTCCGAAAGCCTAACTTTAAACTATTGTGAAAGTAAAAAGAATCAGAAATAATGTTAAAAGTTGAGGTTTCTCTTAACAGAAGTTAGATTTATTTTGCAGCATCCTTTGCAGGGGTAGGGCTGTAGAAACTCTAGACATTTGTGGCTTGGCATCTGCAAAGTCCTGTTCTGCTTTTCTCCTTACTGCGGCCAGAAAATGCTGGTCCATTCTATAATGGTAGGTGCATTTTGCCAGAAAACTCACATATTTTGTGGGTGGAGTTTTGTGGGTGGGAGGCTGGAGAGATTTTTTCAGAAGTCTGTGTAGGCCAAACACCACAGGGGATTCCAAGGGATGAAAAATAATACCTTAGGGGTTAGCAAATTTCCACTATTTGTGGAGCCAAAGGTGCAGCTTTGAAAACATGGCAGGTAACTGACCATTACAGGGGAGGGAGAGTCAGAAAGCCAGAAGCTTCCTCCCAGTGTGCTGAGGATCCTTTGCCTCCATGCACCTTCACTGTGTTACTTGGAGTGGCCACAATGGCTCCTCCAGTTACCCTGGCTGTCTGGGCCACAGCTGAGATAAGAGTCATCTTCAGTGGTTGCAGCTACAGGCTCCCATTGGAAGTTGGAAACCAGGGAAATACAGTTATCTAAATCAATGAACAGTAAATCATGGGCATATGCAAAGTCACCTTAAAATTTGTTGTTAGTTGCTGTAGAGTGGATTCCGACTCATGCTGACCCCATGTGTGCAGAGTAGAACTGCCCCATAGGGTTTTCAAGAAGTAGACCTTTCGGAAGCAGATCACCAGGCCTGTCTTCCGAGGCATGTCTGGGTGGGTTCAAACTGCCAGCCTTTTGGCTAGTAGTTGCGTGCGTAACCATGTGCAATGCCCAGTCACCTAAGTAGTAGATCGTAATTTTGAAAAGGTCACAAGTCTCTGAGGAATCGATGAAAGGTATTTACATAGCTTTCCTGTCCCCAACAAAATGAGCATGTGTGCAACATATAATATTTATCTACAGTTTTGGCAGTTGTGGGCTCAGGTTAAGATTTAAAAATCCATGACTTAAAAAGGCAGGCAAAATGGCCCTAGGTCAAGGCAACGTCAGATTGTAAGTGTTCTTTCCATTAAAGAAAGAATGTGTTAGTTAGAAGGGAAGTTCATCCATAGTTGTAAACATAGCAAAAACAGTCACTGAGGCATAGGCTGGTGATTTCCACCCTAGGACAGGCCAGGATGGAGTCTAGGCCAGTGAACCTGGGTATTCCTGTTTCTGGACCTGGCTTGGCCTTGGTGAAGAATAAATCTAATAATTTTCAACAAATCCCCTTACTCTGACTCCATATTCACTATATTCTGATTACAGTTTGGCCCCTTGTGTAGACCTGCCCACAGGGACAGTGTGTGTTGGCCTTGCCAATAGGAACATTCCAGTGTGCATGGCAGTCACAGCCCTCATTGTAAACGAATCAATCGACATTCTGTTTTATACATCAGCCTCATGAACTGGTGTGAGCTCACACTTGGGAGACAGACCCACTGTCAATGTGCTGAAAAATCATGCTAAGCTTATGAGGCTGAGGTCCAGAACACCAAACTGCCAGCCTGCCTCTCCTGGAAATAGCGGGCTGGCCACGTGCCCTCCTACTGGAGACAATCACACTTACCTTTTACAGGACATCGGATTGTCACATTCGCTTGCAGGGTTGCCTCTATGATGCCTCCAACCACGGCAGACAGATGATTGTGCTCCGGTTTGGTGATATTTCTTTCGACTGACAGGATGACAGGTGCCTCTTAATACAAAGAGAGCAGGAAACTGTTAGGTTCAGGCCTCTCCTCTTTGGTGGACCAGGTTGACTCATAACTCAACATGAGTCAGAATCGATTCGATGGCAACTGTTTAACTGGTTGCATTTGGTAAACTTTGCTGAGCTCTTTATGAGCAGGAGCAGAGTCCTGTTCTCTCTGCATCCCCTGTGGTGCCCAACACAGGGATTTGTACACACACAGCCTAGAGATGCTCAGGGGATGGATGTACGGGTGGATGGACAGATGGATGGACGGACGGATGGATGAATTAAAAACATATCTACAAAGGTGCATTGCAACAACCATACATGAACTATGAGGATAATTTTGTTTTATAAGCAAAATTGAAGACAAATTCCTCTTTGATAATTTGAAAAGAACAAATTCAAATGTTCAGAAGAAACAAAGAAGGCATGGAGGGGCAGGAGTAATGCTTCTGCAATGCAGCCTTGGATAAGTTAAAGCAAGGCCAATATATACCAGGGTTCGGGACCACCTGACTCCATTTCTGGAAGGAGGGATGTGAGATATTGGGGAAATGGGGCTGATAGAGCCAGGGCAAAATGTCCTGATCCATTCAGTTGCTTCCTATGAGGAGTTATCTTGAGTGGAGAAGTCTCCAGCAAACTCTCACATGGAGCTAAGAATGTTAATATAAGACCTTGTTCAACTGAAACATTTACAAAGTGACCACTCTATGGCCCACACCAGGGTAACAAGATGAGAGGTACCCCACTCTTGAGAACCACAAAGTCTACTGGGAGAGAAAGAGAGGCAAGCAGGTATGTTCAATATAAATGTGGTACCTAAAACATCCTTATAAAGTCTTATTGTATATGGAGTCAGAGCCAGGCTCACATGTTGATGCCAGAATAAAACCAGGATTCAAAGCTCATTCAAAGCTGTACTGGAGAAAGATCAGGTGGGTACGAGACCATGATTTTGTCTGGCCTCTTCTAACAAGCTGTATGTGTCCTTGGGCAAAATCTTCCATCTCTGGGCTTCAGTTCTAATCCCACTAGAAAGAAAGGATTAAACTAGGGATCTCTTAGGACCTTTCAATTGAAGTGCTCTCACCCAGTGTGTGTTTCAGAGATGCCCTTTCTCATCTTACTCAGATAAACTCATTTTGATCCAAAAAAGAAAAGCCACTGACTATTTAAGGAGCAGTAACTGCAAAGAGGTCTACTTAAAACATTATTTACCTCTCTCTTCACTGCAGAAAGTCTCAAGGGAAAATAAATGTCTCAAGTGCCCAAATTATGAGACTGTAGAGGTCATTACAAGTAGATTAGAAGCATCTAAAAGGGAGATTCACGGCTAGCATTTTATCAACTTGAAGCAAAAACATGCATAAAACTTGCATGGAAAATAATAATAATAAAAACAAGCTCACACAGAGGTAAGAACCCACATAAAGGACTTTATTTCCCTGGATTTTGAGAATCATGTACTTAGTTAATGGATTAATTCATTAACTCACTCAGGAAACATACTAAATGCTTTCACTTTATCAGGTCTGAGCTGGACAATGGGACTATAAAGTTGGAAAAACACCCATTCTTGCCCTGAGGGAATTCATAGTTGGGTAGGAGACACCATCACTATTCAGGGTGATGGGTGTTGAGGTAGCAAAAGGCACTGATGGCTGAGGGGTGGCTCCGTAGCGTATGGGGGTCAGGGAAGGCTTCCAGAGAGGACGTTGACTGAGCATTCCTCTACACTACTGCAATGTTGGTTTACTCCGCCGTTAGCATGTGAGCTCCTGGAGAGAAAGGTCACATTCCTTAATCTGTTTGATCAATATCTAAGCCCTATAGATCGTAACAGTCTGATCCACAACTGATCATAGGGATGGCAAAGGATCAGGCAGTTTCATTCCATTGCACATACGGTCATCGTGAGTCAAGGCTGACTCAGCTTATGGTTATTGCATGAAAGAATGTATGAATAATCATAATTCAGCTAGCTGTATCGTTAATCACACGTTCTAGGGAAGCTAATTAAGAACGGTCCTGTTTGGGAGACCAAATGTTCCATTCTCTCCTGGAGTTCCTGGGGAAGAGTGAAAAGCTATCCTTACATTTGAAGAGATGGGGATCTTTGGGCTGGGAGAGGATTTTAGTTGTCTCAGCTCATCCTCTGACCTCTGAGGACATTGCACCCGCTCAACTAGGAATCTGGATTGTTCTGGGATGAGCTGAATGGGAGACTTGAAAGCTGAAACGGGGGTTTCGATTCTTCACAGGAATCCCAGAGCCTTGGAACTGATGCTTTCTGTAAAGGAACTTGTGCTCAGAGGCAGTACCACAGGAGAGAACAGCCTAGGAGGACCAAGGTACAGAAGACCAAGGCCTGAAGGCCCTGCCTTGGGAAGGCAGCCAGGTGAGAGGCTTATAATCTTCAAACCACACAGCTTCAAGGATCTTTTAAAAAAAAGATCAACTGGTGCAACTTCCTCAATTTATAGATGCGAAAGTATCTGCCACAAAGCCCAACACTTGGTTGACTAGATGCTGGATTCCAGCCCCTGATATTGTAACTCTCCTCACCTTGGTCCATTTATATCATAACCCATAAAAAACTCATTGCTGTGGAATCTATTCCGACTTATAGAGACCCCATAGGAGAGAGCAGAACTGCTCCCATAAGGTTACCAAGGCTGTAAATCTTTATGGCAGCAGATTACCACATCCTTCTCCCGCAGAGCAGCTGGTGGGTTCGAACCAACAACCTTTTGGTTAGCAGCTGAGTGCTTAACCACTGTACCACCAAGGCCACAGACTACCAAGTGGGGAATTGGGGGATGGCTCTTTGGTTTTATTTTTAATCTCAGAACACAAGCTTGCCACAAGAAGGCATTGTCTACAACTTTACCACCTAAAAACATTCTTTTATAATACAACCAAAACCCATTGCTGTTGAGTCGATTCTGACTCATAGCGGCCCTATAGGACAGAATAGAACTGCCTCATAGGGTGTCCAAGGAGCAGCTGGTGGATTCAAACTGCCAAGTTTTTGGTTAGCAGCTGTAGCTCTTAACCACTGCGCCAATTAAAATGACATTGTCCACTCCTGTGAAGATGCACACTAATTTAAAGTTACAACTTTCTGTGTTTCTAAGCATTGCAGGTTATGCCTTAGGGAGGTATATACCAACCTCTGTTGTTGTTGTTGTTAGGTGTCATTGGGTTGATCCTGACTCATAGCGACCCCATGTGACAGAGTAGAACTGCTATAATCTTTATGGAAGCACGTCTTTCTCCTGCAGAGCTGCTGGGTGGGTTCGAATAGCCAACTTTTCAGTTAGCAGCACTTAACCGTCATACCACCAGGGCTCCTTATACCAACCTTTAAAGAATAGCTATTCTCTTTCCTTCAAGCATGAAAAGTCTGTAGTATTGACGCTGTCAATTAAATCCTGTCTCATTAACTCCCAATTCTTAAAAAGCAAGTTCTAGAGCAGCCATTTTCAAAATGCAGACCTCATAAAAAACCTGGGGACCATGTTAAAAATGCAAATTCTTGGACTCCATCCCAAACATACTGAGTTGGAAACTCTGGTGGCTGTGCCCAGTGATCAGTGTTTTAACAAGCCTCCAGGTAACTCTGTTGCACGCTCAAGTCTGAGAACTGCTGCTCTAGATTTTAATACAAAACAAACAAAAATCAAAACAAACAACAACAACAAAAAAAACCCACAGGAATTCTACAACAATAGACATTACCTGCATACAGCACAGAAGAACTTTCCATGTCTGAACCAAGATGATTAGCTACAGAGCACCCATAGACTCCTTGTTCCTTCCTTGTAGGGTTTCGTATCTGTATTTTCCCCGTTCCATCCAAAATTACTCTGTAGAACAGTTAGAAACAAGAGGCATTCATGTGACACATTCAACAGCTCTGGGGCCACAACAAGTTGCAGAGAAGACAGCAAAATTATAGGCTTTGGGCTGGCAGGGACGCCCAAAGATGATTTTGTCAAGCTTCCTGCCTATAGGCAGACAACTGTATAGAACAGGAGGGTGGAAAGGTCTTCCTTTTGCCTTGCCAGTTGTCATGGAGTCGATTCTGACTCATGGTCACCCCACATGTGGCAGAGTAGAATTCTGATCCATAGGGTTTTCAATGGCTGATTTTTCAGAAGCAGAATGCTAGGCCTTTCTTCCAAGACGCCTCTGGGTGGACTCCAACCTCCACCTTTCAGTTAGCAGCCGTGCGTGTTAACCGTTTGCATCACCCAGGGACTTTCTCTTGCCTTAGACTCATAGAAAGGTGAGAGCTGGATGGTGCTTTACATGTGAAGAGACGTGTCTAGATGGACTCAATGCTTATCTACCACATTTTTTAAAAGGACAAACTAACAAACTTATTAGTTTGCCGGATGTTAAACCCTTATTTCCTACTAAAATCCCTCCTAGCAAATTGCAAATGTGGATTTTTCACTGGGATTTTCGCAGTGGAAGTGAGTGGGTTTTGATCGTGGCTGCCTTGCAGTGAATTCTTGCCTCATACTATCACCGTATGAAGAAGTCAGCAAGGTGACAATGCCAAAGCTACAATTTATATTGGATTTTGATCATGCTGCTGAGAATCAGGGTTAAACTGCATTGAGCTCCATGTGGTTTCCCAATTATTGATATTCACAAAAAGCTGCATGTAAATACCACTTCAAGAATCAGGGTTGGTAGCTTTTTCCAAACAGATGAGAAAATTATTCAAAGAAGTGGGAAAGACTGCTTGTTCTGTTTTGTTTTTTTTAATTATCTTAATTTCTTTTCTTAATGACTTGAAGCTGCTTCTAGGTCATCTGGATCAGCGGTCCAGATACTATTTTTCCCTGCCCCATCCCACTTTATAGATCTTAGCCATACAGACTATTCTGACCTCTAACTGCTGTATGCCTCTTCATGAACTGACCTGAGCCACTTCTTTATTTCCTGCCATTTCACATGGCTCACCCTATGTTCCTGCCATAATGAAGATCCCATGATCTTTCATCACCCCAAGCTGCTGCGTCTGTTGTTCACTTTATTTGGGATGTCCTTCCCCCTTTCTGGCAAATTCTGACTTACCCACTGAGTCCTGGATCAAATGTAATTTCCCCTGCAAAGCTTTCCCCGATGCTCCTCAAGCTACCTGCTGCCTCCTCTGGGCCCTCTCCACTCTGGTTCATATATTTATTTGATGAAATATCTCTTTCTTCCCACAAGATTGTGATCTTTTCAACAGCAGGAACCAAATCTTATTCACAGCACTATATTCTCAGTATTTAGTAAGTTCTCAAAAACCTTTGATGAATAAATGTATGAAAGATTAGAATAGACTAGAATAATGGCACAGGGTAAATGTACAAGGAGGATGTAAGCCCTCCGCTAACATACATAGGAAGTATACTAAAGTGGGGAGTCCTTAGGTGGTGCAAACAACTAATGTGCTTGGCTGCTAACCAAAAGGTTGGAGGTTCAAATCCACCCAGAGGTGCCTTGGAAGAAAGGCCTGGCAAACTGCCTCTGAAAAATCAGCCATTGAAAACCCTATGGAGCATAGTTCTACTCTGATACTTATGGGGATCGTCATGAGTTGGAACCAACAGCAACTGGTTGGTTATACGAAAGTGGGGAGAAGTAACAAAGCAGCTGAAGTGCCCCACGGTAGGAACAGGAGTATAGCAGACCTAGCTAGACTTTCAATGTCAAATCCCTATTGAAGTTGTTTAAAAATGTAAGTGTAACCGTAACTATACTTGAAAAGTAAACAAACTAAAATGTTTAAGTTAGTTCATATATTTGTTTATATGATTTAGCAATTCTGAAATAATTCCTTTCTTTTGCAGTCGATTTAACAGCTCAGTGAGAAATCATTGAGAATAGAAATAGCTGAGCACACCTGAACTTTGCATGCCATGTGGGGACACCCAGGTATAGAACCTAGATCAGTCCCTGGGCTGGAGAACAAGCAGGGAGAAGTCCTGTATGGCTGTGACATTGGCCTCTGCTGCATGATCATGTTCTTAACTTGCAATAATTACAAAGCTGATCTTTCTATAGGCACCATCCCTAATGAGTCCATCCATGGCCTCCTGGGACTTCCTAGTTGAGATTTCTTACTTGGTTGACCTCCCGGCAGTGACTCCAAGCCTACACAGTTTCCTCTCATTGAATAAATAAATAAATAAATAAATCCATTGGCTTCAAGTTCTGACTTATAGCGACCCTATAGGACAGCATAGAACTGTCCCATATGGTTTCCAAGGAGCAGCTGGTGAATTTGAACTGCCAACTTGTTGATTAACAGTGGAGGTCTTAACCACTGTGCCGCCAGGGCTCCCTCATTGAATAGAAGCTATTAAAAGCGTAATTTCATTTCTAAATTACTTCAGTGGAAAAATCTTGTGATTTAGAAAAATATATCTCGAGATGAGAACTTTTGTTACATAAAGGAAATTTAATATAAATCGAATGAATTCATTGCATACAAATTAACTAATTTCAGAGGAAAAAATGGAAATAAAAATGGGCATTATTCTCTTAAAATATTAAAAACACCAAGGCCCCCACCGGACTGAGTCCAGTACAGCGAGATGGTGCCCAGCTACCACCACTGACTGCTCTGACCAGGATCACAACAGAGGGTTCTGGACAGAGCTGGAGAAGGATGTAGAACAAAATTCAAACTCACAGAAAAAAGACCAGATTTACTGGCCTAAAGGAGACTGGAGAAACCTTGAGAGTATGGCCCCCAGACACCCTTTTAGCTCAGTGGTGAAGTTAGCTCCGAGGTTCACTGTTCAGCCTGGGAGTGGACACACCCGTAAAAACCAAATGAGACTAACGAGGTACAGGAGTCCAGTGACAAGGGCTAGAAGGCAGAAGGGGACAAGGGAGCTGGTGATAGGGAACCCAAGGTTGAGTAAGGATATTGTTGATGTGCTGTGAGATTGTTAACCATTGTCATAGGGCAACATTTGTAGTAACTGTTAAATGAGAAACTATTTTGTTCTGTAAGCCTTCATCTTAAGTGAGAATAACAGCACAATTGGAAGAGCGTAGTCAATGTCACTGAACTGTGTATGTAGAAATTTTTGAAACGGTGTATCTTTGGCTATGTGTATTTTCACCAAAAAAAAAGGTTGAGAAGTTAGAGGGTTAATATGTTGTGGGGTTGTTAACCAATGTCATAAAACAACATGTGTAGTACTGTTTCATGAGAAACTATTTGTTCTGTAAGCCTTCACCTGAAGTTTAATAAAACATTAAAAAAATATATATATTAAAAACAAAAACTTTGAATAGCCATATGGAATTGCTTCTATTTCCAATTGTTGATCCTTAATGTACGCAGGGAGACTTCATGGCTCAGTGGCTGCAAACCAAAAGGTCAGCAGTTTGAATCCATCAGCTGCTCCTTGGAAACCCTATGGGGCAGTTCTACTCTGTCCTATAGGGTCACTATGAGTAGGAAACGACATGATGGCATCGGGTTTGGTTTGTTTTTTTAAAAGTACGCAGAAGCACATCTGAATGGGACATACCATGTCAGAACCTCTCCTTTATATGCACTCTAGGAGTCTCCGCCTCAGAAACTAATGTTCATTCCATTTGATCAAGTCAAAGTATTTATCACCTCAATTCAATAAATATTTAAACTGATCATGCTCTGCTATATGACTGTAGTTAGTACTTATGTGGCCATGGGTTAACTGATCACTTCAACTATCTCAGCCTCTGTTGCCTCACAATTTATAAAATGGAATTGTTGAGCTAGGTCAGCAGTTCTCAAAGGGTGGTCCATGAACCCCTGGGGTTCCCCAAGACTTTGTCAGGGGGTCTGTGAGGTCAAAACTATTTTCATAATACTACTAAGATTATTTGCCTTTTCCACTATGTTGCCATTTGCACTGACAGTGCAAAAGCAATGGTGGGTAAAAGTGTTGATGCTTTAGCATGACCCAAGGCATGGGCACCAAAGTGTACCAGTTGTCACTGTACTCTTAACCACCACACACTTGCAGAAAAAACAAAAATAACCATTCTACTTGTTTTTGGAAGCACTGAGTTTCTGTTTACGGTGCTGGGAAATTAGGCAACGATTATGGATGATGGTTGCAGAACAGCATGAATGTAACTGATATTACTAAATTGTATACCTGAAAAATGTTCAGTTGACAAATGTGGTGTTACCTATATTTTTAGAGCAATAAAAAAGTCCTTAATGAAGCAGTAAAACACTGATTTTACTATATCTAGACACTTGAGGACATCTTTTTTTAAATTGTGTTTAAGTGAAAGTTTACAGTTCAAGTCAGTTTCTCATACAAAAATTTATACACATTGCTCTCCCTATAATGTGACAGCACACACCTCCTTTCTACCTCGGATTTCTCCTGTACATTCAACCAGCTCCTGTCCCTTTTTGCCTTCTCATCTTGCCTCCAGATAGGAGCTGCCCATTTAGTCTCATCCATCTACTTAAGCAAAGAAGCACTTTCCTCACAAGTATCATTTTATATCCCATAGTCCAGTCTAATCTTTGTCTGAAGAGTTGGCTTCAGGAATGGTTTCATTTCTGGGCTAACAGAGAGTCTGGGGCCATGTCTTCCGGGGTCACTCCAGTCTCAGTCAGACCATTAAGTCTGGTCTTTTTACTAGAATTTGAGTTCTTCACCCCACTTTTCTCCTGCTCCGTCAGGGATTCTTGGTTGTATTCCCTGTCGGGGCTGTCATTGGTGGCACCTGGGCACCATTTAGTTCTTCTGGTCTCAGGCTGATGAAGTCTCTGGTTTATGTGGCCCTTTCTGTCTCTTGGGCTAATATTTCCCTTGTGTCTTTGGTGTTCTTCATTCTCCTTTGC